TTTTTCAAGATATTTAGTTATCTGTTCCTTGATAATCTTTTCCATTACTTTGCATTAAAATGAAGTGATAGACACTGGTCTGTAATTAGCGGCATCAAAACAACTCCTTTTTTTAAACAACGGTGTAACATGTGACTGATTCCAGGCTGAAGGTGTTGAACCTTCAGACAGTGCTTTATTGTAAATTAATGTTAGAGAGTAGAGAGTAAATTTGAGCCGCACATTCTTTAAGTACCTTTGGACTAATGTTATCAACACCAATAGATTTATTCAGGTTCAAACCATTCAATTAGGATAGCGTCGCTTCAAAACTTATTATACATCGCCTAAGTCTTCTTGATTATGTTTTCTATCAAAAAACGGTAATTGATCAATTTTGCTATCATCAACAAAAACTGATTTAAAGTGTTTGTTAAGTCTGTTTGCGATATGTATTGCCTCTGTTAACGTTTCACCTTTTGCATGAGATATAGCGCCAATAGATACATGAACGTTCTGCTGCGCTTTTGCATAAGCATACATTCTTTTTGGATTATTTTTATCTGATGCCTCAAATACTCGAACACGATGTGTACATGCTTTCTGAAGTTGGCCCAGTTGTTGTTTTTTCTTTATCATAGCTAATACTTTTTTTTTTTTTTTTTGGTATTTGGTATTTGGTTTTCTTTATCATAGCAAATACTTTATCATAGCTAATACTTTATCATAGCTAATACTTTATCATAGCTAATACTTTATCATAGCTAAAATTTGAAATGGAATTATTAATTTAATAAATGTCTAAAACTCTAATCACTCACCTCCCAACTGTTTACAAAATAATGAATCATATATAGCTAAACCAAATCTTATCTCTGAAAAGTTTAACACTTTTTTTACAAACGTCGCACAAAAACTTAAATCTAATATTCTTTCGTCTTACATAAACTATACAAAATATCTTAAGTATCCAAATTTATAGTCTACTGCTATCTCCATCAAATAGTTATGAAGTTTCATCTCTTATATCTAATTTGAAGCCGAGAAAATCAATAGGCCCAAATAGCATTACCACAAACATTCTTATCGATTTTAATAATTATTTTTCAAATATTCTTTCTAAACTATTTATTTTATTTATCAATCATAAATGGAACTTTTCAGAATATTTTAAAATTATCTTTTGTTATTTCAATATTTAAAAACGGCTCTAAACTTTTATGTACTAACTACAGACCTATTTCTCTTTTATCTAATATTAGTAAACTTCTTTATAAACTTATGTATTCTAGAGTGTAATTTTTTCTCAACTCTTTTAACTGTTTAAATGAACTTCAATTTGGTTTTCGTTCAAAACATTCTACCTGCCATGCATTACTAAGTATAACTAAAAAAATCAGGAAAGCTTTCGACACAGGTCATTTTGTTTGTGATATTTTTATAGATTTACAAAAAGCTTTTGATACCGCTAATCATAACATTTTGATTTCTAAATTAAAACACTATGGTATTGTTGTTGCTGTGAATGAGCGGTTTCGATCTCATCTTACAGATCGGAAACAATTTGTAAATATTAATGGTTATAATACTACTAATAAATCTATTGTGTGCAGTGTTCCTCAAGGCTCTGTTGTTGGTCCTCTTTTGTTGTTAATTTATATTAATGGCATAAGCAATTCTATTCGCTTCTCGTCAATTCATTTTTTTGCTGATGACACAAATCCATTGCATATTAACAAATTGTATAATTTTTTATGTAAAAACATAAGTTCGGATGTAAGGTATTCTTCACTGGTTAAATGCTAACTTAATATGTCTTAACGAAAAAAAAAATGAACTCATCTTTTTTTCATCTTCTAGAAAAAAAACACAATATAAAGAATATTTACTGTGCATTTTTTTTATTGCATCTTAGTTACTGTTGCCAAATTTAGGTTCAAAATGGCAACTATCACACCAAAAAACTGATGTTCTCACAACATTAATCCATAAGAATTATAAACTTCCAACCTTTTAAGTCAGAAACATCAGAAACTTTCAAAAAACTGAAAATTCCAACCTTTCCAGCGCTTGTAAAATTTGCTGATCTTCTTTTTGTTTTGACTTTTTAATAACAATTTACCCTCTTCTATAAGAGACTTTTTTACAGAAAGTAGAATAATACATACATACTCTACTAGAAACATATATATTGGGAAACTTAATGTATCATCATTTAAAAGTCAAAAGTATGGTTAATATTCTGTTGTGTATTAGTGCATTTGTAAATGGAATAAGAATCTTGTATGCATAGTGATTGAGTTCAAAAAACTACAACTTCAAACACCTTTATCTTTTCTTAATCTTACACAAAACCAATTTAAAAAAATTCTGAAAACAATTTTGTCCTAATTTATTGATATCGCTTTCACTTAATTTTTAAAATATACTCTTATTTTTTTTAATTATGATTACTACAACTATTATCATTAAATTCTTTTTTATTTGTTTTTTATTATTATCATCAAAGTAAGGTTTTTTAAAACTTTCCTTGTTTATGTATGTTCTATGTGTGTATCAGGGGTGTGGATTCGTAAAAAAAAAGTAACGACTCCGACTCCGACTCCAATTGATGAAATTTTTTGAGTACAATCCTTCTCTGACTCCGACTACAACTCCGACTCCGACTCCAACTCCAAAGCAAAATTTTTAAAAAATTCTTTAAATTCTTTAAAAAATATTACGCGATAAGTTAAAAATTTCTTTTTTGACAAATTTATGAAACGTTCTTTGAGTTTTATTATGAACATAAAAACAATTGAATGTTTTGTACATGCATATGTAATAACAAAAAGTTTTACTATTGGAGTTGGAGTCGCGATTTTTTTTAGCGACTCCGACTCCAACTCCGCTGAAAATGTTGCAACTCCCCAACTCCGATTTCGATTCCGATTCCACAGCCCTGGTGTGTATATTTATTATTAATCATATTATATTTAAAAACTGGTGTCACTCCTATGATCAGAATTCTGTTTGACTGACCCCATCCTTATCAATCATTTAGTTATTATTATTAAATACTTATAATTAATTTACTTATTACATATATATATATATATATATATATATATATATATATATATATATATATATATATATATATATATATATATATATATATATATATATATATATATATGTATGTATATATATATATATATATACATATATATATATATATACATATATATATATATATATATATATATATATATATATATATATATATATATATATATATATATATATATATATATATATATATATATATATATATATATATATATATATATATATATATATATATGTATATATATGCGTGTGTGTATATATATATATCTGTGTATATATATATGTATATATATATTCATATATATATATACAAACATATATATATATATATATATACATTTTTTTTAATTTTATTTTATTTATTATTATTATAGTTTTATTGTATGACTTGAAAAGGAGAATAAATATCTTGTTGTTGTTGTTGTTAGTTATGAAAAAATTTACAAAAATCGTTGTCCACAAATGAAAGAATTTTTGCACAAGTTGTTTACAACATTGTTTTCTTGAAAAAATAAATATTAAGATTATAACGACAAGTTTTCTTTCAATTTTTGTAAAAATAAAATTATAAAAGAAACATATTGTTTAACTAATATAGAATATATTATCAATATTTGTTACAATTAATATCGTGATAGTGGTAATTAAAATACAATTTCAAATCACGTTAAAACAATATAAATAATTGATGTAAAATAAACAACTAATTAAAACGATATAACTATTATATAACTATAAAAACGATTTAAACTATATATTTATATAAGAATATAAAACAATGCACTAATAAATTTTACTATTAAAAAGTTTATTATTAAATTCATTGATGGGGGAGGGGGTGTAACACCCTCCTTCCCATCAATGATTTTTTCGTTCATTTAGTCGGCAAATTTGACCCCTTTTGACTAGTCTGTCGGCAAATATAGGCCCTTTCAACAAGTTAGTTAGTAAATTTAGACAGTCAGTCGGCAAATGTCGTTTTGGCAGTCGGAGGTCGGTTAGCAAATTTTAAAAAACGGGGACCTTTTTTTTTTTTTTAAGTCGGCAAAAGTTGTAATGGCACCCCCACGTGACATCTAGTCGCGCCGGCCTTGTATATATATATGTATATATATATATATATATTTTTTTAGCATTCTTTCAGTAAATTACTTCAAAATGATTTATTTAAAAAATTAGTGGGGAAGGGGGAGGAATGCACCTGTTGCCCCTTTCCCTCTCATTGCTACAGGCCTATATATATATATATATATATATATATATATATATATATATATATATATATATATATATATATATATATATATATATAAATATATATATATATATATAAATATATATATATATATATATATATATATATATATATATATATATATATATATATATATATATATATATATATATATATACATATACATATATATTCATAAATATATTTATATATATGTATATATATATATATATATATATATATATATATATATATATATATATATATATATATATATATATATATATAAATATATATATATATATATATATATATATATATATATATATATATATATATATATATATATATATATATATATATATATATATATATATATATACATATACATATATATTCATAAATATATATACATAAAGGTTTATAAAAATTTGTTTATAATCAAGTATTCAAAAGATTGTTAAGTTCTGAATTATATTCAACTCCTTAGACAATTTTAATTTGTTAGTTTACGTCATAGATTTGTCGCATAGACGTATGAAATTACATTAACTATAACCTAAGTGAATTAACGGAATTTTCAATCATGGTGACAATATAATTATTAAATTTGTCGGTTTCCGTGCAAATCATAACTGCGATTGTCAGTTTCCCTGCAAATCATAGCAAGTCAAATAATTTATAAAATTTTTTATTTTTAAAATTAAAATTTATTTATTCGACAACAGATTATGAGATTGATATGGAAAAAGAACACAGTTCAAGTAAAGGAGATTTCAATTTAAATAATGTATGCTCAAAATGCTCATTGCCTATGAACGACAAGTTTGTAGCAAAAATATTGGACATGATAATGCACGAAGATTGTATTAGATGTTTCAGTTGCAACTGTATGCTGAAGGACACTTGTTATTTTCGTGAGTCAAAATTCTTTTGCAAAGATCATTTTTTTAGGTAATTTTTAAAATTAAATTAAATAGTTAAGAGTTCATTTAGAGTAGTTCTTACTTTTTACTATGATTTCTGTAGTTTTATATAAAAAAAAAAAAATTAAAGTTTTTTAAAATGAAGCTTGATAAATATTCAAATTTACGTTCAAATTGTGGATAAAGTGATCGAAGAAATAAATCTCCTTTTTTTAATTTGTTTGCGATAAAACTAAAGCAAACTTGTTATTGTTATCACAAAGAACTTTTATAAAAAAGAATGTAATTTTGTATACTTTCGATTTAAGTTTCAATAGCTAACTTGCCTTTGGGCAGGTTCTGCCTAAGTTACCAACGAAAGTTTATAACTACGTCGTTTACATATACTTTTACAAAAAATTCAACAACAAATCTTCAATAAAGTAGAATGACAAGTGTGATTGAATAAAAAAAAAAAAGACACGCTTACTAACAAAGACTTTTTTTGTTTTGCATGCTTACTTATAAAGCAAAGATTGATTTTTGTAAATTGTAAAAAAAAAGAAATTATATATATATATACATATATATATATATATATATATATATATATATATATATATATATATATATATATATATATATATATATATATATATATATATATATATATATATATATATATATATATATATACACACACACAAAACCACAAATAGTAGACGCTAGCCTTGAAGGGGAAGTGATATTCGCACATTATTCTTGTGCACGCACAAAACTTGAAGTACCATCCTGATTAAAAATAGGTGGTGCCCGCCACCCTATCAACATTTTAGAATATGTTCTAGAGTATGAAAAGGATGAGAGCTCCTGCAGTACACTATTGCATATATATTACGTTATGTACATTACACTGCACCTATTTGTACACTAGACTGCACAAATTTCTATATAGTTAGTCGATAAATGTACACTTGACCTCGCTAGATTATCTTTATATTTAATAATCAAATACAAAAAATCTTATACTTAAATTAAAATTTTTTTTCCTTTTTTATATTTAATGTGCTAATAGACTATAATTAAATGTATAGCATTCACTCTGTTTAAATAATATTTAATGAGTAAATAATGTGTTAGTAAAACCTAAAACATTAGTAAATATTTTTTAAAAACAATTAATAATAATCGTCAACGATAAAGTTTTACGCTTGAATATTATCATTTTATTATCTTAAAAGGCTGAGTTATAGTAAATATAGTTATAAATTATGTGTTTATAACTATGCATTTAATAATTGGTCTAAAAAAAAAATGCAAGTCCTCAAATTTTTTTATACCATCATCAGTTTCGTCAAAATTAACACATGAAAATGCTTTTGCTTTGAATTGTGTTTTGTTCCTTAGCATTCTTGCATTCCTATGCACTTCTTAATTTTTTTGTTTGTTTTATTCCTTAGCATGTAGATTTTAATTTTTTTATTTGTTTTATCATTTTGCAAAATGTTTTCTTATTTGATTGCTTGATTTTTGTTTTTTTCTGTTAGGTATGTTAACCTAATTTTATTTCTAATCTGAACATCACTCAATATATATATATATATATATATATATATATATATATATATATATATATATATATATATATATATATATATATATATATATATATATATATATATATATATATATATATATATATATATATATATATATATATATATATATATATGCAGTTCTACAAATAAAATAAAGGAGGAAGGGTAAGTTCTTAAAAATTACCGACTAGTTTCTTAAATAGAAAAAAAAAGGTCTTTAAGACTAAATTTCACCCGACTGAATTTGTCAAATACCCGACTAGCCAACTAAATTTGTCAAAATACCTATAACTTAGAAATCACCTTATTTGGAAGGGGGGAGGGTGTTTCAACCCACAACCCACCTCCATCTCTTCCTCTAAAGTCTATATTTATACATATTTGTAAATATATCCCAGAATAGTCTGTGTATACTTTTATTTTTGTCTCATGCTTCGGTTTAAAAAATAACTTTTTATATAAGGTTCTATGGCGTTAAATGTGTGGCTTGTAAAAAAAGAATCGATCCTTTAAATATGGTGCACAAGTATAAAGAAAATTTAATCCACGTGGCATGTCTTCGGTGTTGTTTTTGTAACAGAGAAGCGACAACCGGCGAAGAAATACATATTACAGAAAATTTTACTTTTGTGTGCAAAGAGGATTTTGAAAAATATCAAAACTGTCAAGGTAAAATATCAAAACTGTTAAGGTAAAATAAAAAAGTCAATAATATATGGAAGGTATATTTTTATTATAAGAAAATTTATTAAAAACTATGTTTCATAAACACTACCATTAAAATCGCGCGGAAACTTAAAAAATATTTTTAGTGAGGCGCAATACGAGACAAAAATCTCCTTATTTAATTCAAAACTGTTTTGATTGTGTCTTATGTTTGCTACCAATGATCAGGGGTAGCTGCTAAGAATTTGTGGCCAATGATCAGGGAAAACGGAGAAATTGAGTTTTACAAAAACTTAATTAAAATATTAAAGATTTGACAGTGGAAGGCTAACTAATTATAACAATATTCTTATTAGGTTTTATTGTTCATGAGATATTAAATTTAATTTATTTAAAAAATTTATATTATGTTAAGATTGTTATATTGTTATATATATTACATCAATGAGTTCAATATGTGACACTTGTTTAAAAATATGAAAATTGTAACTTTCTTTGTTAAGACTCATAAACAATATTTTTGCTCAGTCTAATATACTTACTTATTTGATATTATTTAGCAATTACTGAATGTCAGAAAGTTTTTTATGATTGCGATCAGCCAGTTACAAGTTTGTAATGGTGATTAACAGACATACCTTTAATGAAGACAATGAAAATTACAATAAAAGTCAAGGTAGACTTAAAAGACAGACAAAATCACTTTATAATTGTCATTACTCAAGTATTAAACTATAAAAAAAAAATAAGATATTAAATTGTTTATTGAAAAGTAGACAAAACAAACAGTGAAAAGGTTCTGGAAAAAAAATTTAGCAGACAATTTTATTCACAACAAGTTTGTTTAAATTATATATAACAATATTCAATAGTTAATTGATTCTCAAAAATTTTGGTAATGTATTTTACATAAAAGGTACAAAGTTTCATTCACGGTAGTTTAGGTAGTTGGTACTTTAACGGAGTTAAAGTACGGTACGTACACGGTACGTACACGGTACGTACACGGTACATACACGGTACGTACACGGTACGTACACGGTACGTACACGGTACGTACACGGTACGTACACGGTACGTACACGGTACGTACACGGTACGTACACGGTATACGTACGTACACGGTATACGTACGTACACGGTATACGTACCGTCTACGTACGTACGTACACGGTACGTACACGGTAGTTGGTACTTTAACGGAGAACAATAGATTATTAACTGGGGCCCAGAAAACATTTGTTGTATTTTAAAAATGCATCCCTAATTTTGACTTTTACTTTTTTGTAAATAAAATTAATATATGTAATTATTTCAAATTAATAAAATAAATCAAAATTGTATAAAAAGAAATTATTAAAATAAAATATATAAATTTTTCGAACACAGCCATAGTTTTGCAAACCAATACTTTGTAGCCAATAAACTGTTGCTGATAGCGTGAATAATTTAGTTTTATAGGTAGTTTCCATTGTTTAAAATTTCTTTATTGTTGTCAATATTAAATGGTTTAAACCACAAACATTTTTAAAGCATTATCTCCTGAACGTTGTTGCATCTATCATTGCTAGTTACGTCACAGACATGGTCAGAAATAAGCTATTTGTTAATTCAAATTTTATAACATTTGTTTTAAAAAAAATATCTTTTTATTTAAGGAAAAAACATAAAATGGGTTTAAGATATGACTTTCCTGCAATAAACAATTTAAGTTTTTGAGAATTAAACTTTTCGAAACAACAGTTTTACTTAATTTTTTTTTAGGATACAATCTACCAAAAACAATTTTAATCGTATCTGGCATATATTATACTCGAATAATTTTGAATGGTTCATTTGCAATATCTTTTTTGTAACTGATTTAAAACAAATATGATTTTTAAGTTTTTAGAATTACGAATTTTTTAAAAAATACCTTGAACATTTCAATCACTTTTTTAAAATTTATTTTAAATGTTTTAAATAAGTCTTAAATTCATAGACGCCTAGACTCGTAAACATTGTCTACAAGTCTAGACGTCTACTAAAAATTAAAGACACTTCAAGTAGTAATTTTAGAATAATTGCAGACTGTAATTGTTTAATTTCTTATCAATCAAATTTATTTTTATTAACTACGTTTTTAAACTTTATTAAAAAAGTTTAAGAAAGCGAAACTTTAACTTTCAGCTTTTAATGCATTTTTGTTTTGTTTTCTATTGTGTTATGAAAATTTCAATATATTTTAATTTGTCTATTAAGTTTATAAAATCTAAAATTAGCTCATGGACCCAGTCAATCAAACTTGGCTTATGGATCTAGCCAATCAAACTCGGCTTAGTTAAGCTGATTTCTATAGTTAGTTTATTTCGCAATTTAACAATATTTGCATTTTAAAAGTATATATATAAGAAATATTAGCGTGGCAAAAAAAAGTCATTATTTGCCTAATCACCGAGTTGCTATCATCTGTATTTACAATAATCGTAATATATATGTATATTTTACAAAATATTAATAAAAAATATAAAAGTAAAATAAATAACAATTAACTGAAAGTTAAAAAAAAAAATTCAAGAACAACATTTAAGACAAGAGACATCATAATTAAGTCAATGAAAAAAATGTTGATTTTGTGATATATTTTGTGATATATTTTGTGATTGTGTATTAATAATCTTCGAATCTTTTTCCACTAGTTAGGTCCCCGATGTTGAATTGAAAATAAAATTCATTTTAAATTATATATGTGGGCAACGAAGTTATTACCTGAAAATATTGTTAGGTTATTAATAACTATTTTGTCAATATAAGATTAATCAATTTAAGAGAACTCATTTTTGTTTTATACATAAACATTAAAACTTAGTGTAAGTTAATTTTACAAAAATTTAATGTACCAAGTTGTCACGCAGAAAAAGTTCGCAAAATGCAGCTTTGTAAGCACCAAATAATAATATTCTGCACGAGTTAACTGTACAATTTCTTTAATTTTGTATGATTGTACTTGCCCATGCTATATTACAATAAAATAACAAAGAATAAAGGAGAAATGAAGTATCTTTTTAAAGATTTTAAAAATGGTTTATATATATATATATATATATAAATATATATATATATATATACATATATATATATATATATATATATATATATATATATATATATATATATATATATATATATATATATATATATATATATATATATATATATATATATATATATATATATATATATATATATATATATATATATATATATATATATATATATATATATATATATATATATATATAAACGGATTATATGTACACTCAAACTTAAATATAGATCTACGATTACGCCCAAAAAGTTTACTGACCTTTTTTCGTTTTAATGCTAGAAATTTATTGGAAACATTTTCTGATTTATTCACATTATGAAATAGAATAATTTGTTACTTATGTTACTTATGTTATGAGTTAGAATAATTTGTTACTTATAAACCACTCTCTAAGTTTGCCTAACTGTTCATTAGCTGTTTTAAAGTGTATTTTAATATCACTGGAGTAAAAATGATTAGAGACATCTGTAAAAAGACTGCAATTTAATATGCGAAAAGATTACTGTTTAAAGACTGCTGCTAATTTTGGATCATTTATGTACTCTAAGAACAACCACGGTTCTAAAATAGAGCCCTGGGTAATTCCACCGGAATACGGAAATGTCTATTTTTGCTCATACTGTATAAATTGCTATCAAATTGGTTGACAACTTTTGAATCAAAATAAATTACTATTTTTTACTCCATAATATTTAATTTTTCTTTTACTCCGTAATATTCAAGTTTTTTTACTCCGTAGTATTTTTTACTTCGTAGTATAGTTTACGGTATTAAATGCTTTTGTAATTCAGCATAAACGGCTTCAACCATTTGAACTTACTCGATGCTTTTTTCTGCAGACAGCGAACCTTTAACTCTAGCTAATCCATGGTTCCAAAATTTATTTTCGATATGAACATTTATATTTAAGTTTCTGTATTTTTTCATTGATATCTACTCATCAAATTAAATTTGAAAAAAAAACTAAATTGCACCCCTTTGGACTGGAAAAAAGTAAACTTGGATATAACCGTTATTTTGGTTTTGTGTGCAGATTTGACTGACATATTTTGAATTTTCGTTGTCAATATCAATAACAAACTAAAAACCATGAAATAATCTTGCTAATGAGGATAAATGCCTCAATATGCAGCATATCATTGGCTTTGTTTATATTTACTCAAGAAATTGGTGACCAGAAACCAAGAAATTGGTGACCAGAAACCAAGAAATTGGTGACCAGAAACCAAGAAATTGGTGATCAGAGGTTTCCCAATGACAATGGAGCTATAAAAACAAGGCCAATGATGTTGCTGCATCTGGGGGGCATTTTTCACTTTAATAAGTTAATTTCATGGTCAGTTCTAAGATACTTATTGATTTACTGCAAAAATGCATTTTTGTATCTTGCAATTCATGAATTTTAAAAGTTGATTTTTCTTATCACACAGAAAGTAAAACCACACGGATTTTTTTTTAATTTGTTATCTTTAGCTCAAGTTTTCGAATATGTTTTTGGAATTATTGTGTGTTAAACAATGGTATAAAATAAGATTTTCTGACAATGACAGGTTGTGGTGAGTGAGAAGGATGATGCCGTCGAACTGACAAATAATTTGAAGCAGTTAATCGCCAAGATACGCACCATTGTAAAACTGTTTCACTGATCTCCAAAAAAAAGAAAATACACTGTAGACAAATACAACCATTTTTTATTTGGACATGTTGTCTGTTTCTGAATATTAAAACTGTCAATACAAATCTCTTTCGATTAGATGGAATGGATTATTTGTTCCTTATTTAAAACATGTAAAGTGTTTTTTTATTTAGCGTTAATATAATTACTTATAAGCCTAAAGTACCATAAACTAGTACCAAAAGAAGTTTTTAGAAAAGTGAATATAATTACTTTTCTAAAAACCTTATTTGGTACTAG